TGCGGGCCATGGCGCAGGGCGTGGCAGGCGTGGCACTTTCCTCACCCCGTAGGGGGTGCGCAGGGGGTGGTCTCCGAGCGCGGCGTCTATGCAATTCGGGCCATGGCGCAGGGCGTGGCAGGTGTGGCACTTTCTCGACCTCGTAAGGGGGGTGCGCATGGGGTGGTCTCCGAACGCGGCGTCCATGTGGGCCATGGCGCAGGGCGTGGCAGGCACGGCATATTCTCGACACTCTTAGGGGGTGCGCAGGGAATGGTCCCCGAGCGGGGCGCTTATGCGGGCCATGGCGCAGGGCATGGCACGCGCGGCATATTCTCGACACCACAAGGGGGTGCGCAGGGGGTGGTCCTCGAACGCGGCGTCTATGCGGGCCATGGCGCAGAATGCGGCGCTTCTCCTCTTCCACCTCTCCTCTTGAGTGGCGTCACCAACGGTGTCGGCGGTGCAACGGCCACCAACGTCATTCTCACATGCTTCACTTCAGCTATCATCACTCCAGCCATAATATCAGTATGTGGGGTTCCTCGGTAGCGTAATTTTGCTTGCTTTGTATATCGCGGTCTGTGCACATAACACACAGCGCCACGCCCCTGTGCTCTGTGGGTATCTGTACTCGTGGCCTGCGCACAGAACGCACAACGCCACGCCTCTGTGCGCAGGACGCGCAACGCTGCGTAGGCTTCGGATTCGGAATCCAGCGGGCGACAGCGACGTGGAGGAGTTCCGCGCGCAGAGTTGCGCGCGCATCGCAGCGCAAACAGGGTTCGAGGTGAACGCCCGGCAGATGATCTACAAGACTTTCTTCGCGCAAGGGCAGGAGAGCGGAAGTCGTCTTGGAGACTGCAGCTCTGGCGGCGGCAGCGACGAGGTTCTGTTGGCGGACGGCAGTTGCGTTCTCCTGGCTCGCGCACGTCTGAGCCCCGACCCGCGGGCCCCGGCATCCAAGGCGGCGCGCAGTGGCGTCGGAGGTTCTCGCGGGGTCCCCTGTCGCAAGTGCGCGGCCGCGCGTGATTCGCTGGGGGATTCCTCTCCGCCGCGAATAAGGAGGCGCCCGTTCATTTGGACGGCCTACGTGGGTGCATCAAAAGGGGGTCTGGCATGGGCGTGCCCATGCACGCGCGCGAGCTACGCCCGAAACGGTACTTCGCATGGAACAGCAGGCTGGTCGAGCACGCGAAGAAGCACCGCCAGAATCGGGCGTCTTTCGCCCCATGCGCGTGCAACAACATGTTCCGCATAGCGAAGGCCATCTATGACAGTGACCAGATGCGCGGCGTTTCTGGCGATAAATATCTGCAGAGGGCAGCGGCCCCGGTGCGCAGACAGGCAAGCAAGAGGCTTTCCAACAGGGCCCGCGCGCACCTGGACGAGTGCATGGCGCTCGTGCTGGAAGATGGCGGGCCGAGGTGCCACCCGCAATTCGAGCTGTGCCGGATGTTCGTTCGCCACGTCGGCGACTGCTACTCGACGCGGGAGTCTTACAATCTGCTTTATCGAGATGCGTCGTTGTCCGATGGCCGCGTCGATGAAGGCTGCTTTCCAGCGGTCAGAGCGGGAAGGGAACATACTTTCTTTGCTGATGACAAGTCAGCAGGCTACGTGGCATGCTATGATGGCCGATGTGTGCCAAGCTCCACTGGCGCGAGAGCACCTCGCTGGTTTGCTGGAGGAGTGCGAGGATAACGGCGAGTTCCAGCGGGCGTCCATCGACGGCGCTTCTAAGCCAGCATTCACTCTGGGCGGGCAAGCTTCCTACATGAGCCTGCATGCAGGGCGCCGCGGTGGGTTCGAGGAGATCGGGCCGTTCCCATGGATGATCAACTTCGCGCAGTTTTGACGATGCGGGGCCGGACGGGCGCCGCGCCGCTGGCGACGCCTATTCCCTTACTCCGACTGAGAAGACTGAAAACGTATGCAGTGTTCTTTCATTGGCATTCTGGGCGTTGCAGCCGGCGCAAGCCCAGTGCCTTGTCCCGGGCGGTCCGCCGTCGAAGCTGCTCGATGGGCTTCGAGATGTCTGTGGCAAGCTCCTGGCAAACGCCCTGGACTGTTGCCATCTGGCCACGGTCCGCGAGCAGGACAATTGGGAAAAGGAGGGTCCAGGGAGCATTGGCCTTCGCAGAGTCGCTGCGAATCTGGAGGCTAAGTACGGCGCTGGACCCCGCAGGGAATTTCTCGACGGCACGAGCGCCGCCGCGCCCGCGCGGGGCGAGGAGTTTGCCCGCGGCGGCATCGGGCGGAACAGACTCGCCGTCAGGAAAGCGAAACGGATCCAGGACGACATCGACGCGAGCAAACCTTTCCAGACTCGCACCGAGGTCGCGCGATGCATAGAGGCCGTTGCCCGCGCGCACCGCGCGGAGATGAAGTAGGCACTGCCTTCAGGCAAGACGAGGTTGCAGATGCCCAGGTGCGCAACCCAACCAGAGAGGCTGGATTGGATGCTGAATGCGGTCGGGGTCGTTCCAGGACGACGCGGGAAGAGCGCGTCCCATTGCCCGCGGGTGTGTGGGGGCCTTTGGAAGCATTGGTGTTTGTTGTTTGATCTGCAATTCGGGACACCGTCGAGATGCGAAGTATGGTTCGTCAACTTTGTATCGCGACGCTAGCTTCGAAACCGCGATCAGAAGACAATGCAGCTTTCAACGGCGGCCGCGCCACAGGCATCGCATCGAAAGAGACTTTCCACGTGGAGTTCAAGCGGTGTTTTTCGGCCAAGGCGCGCGCCCATGCATGCTTGCCCGAAAGCTCGCCGTCGTCCACGCCGCCAAGCTGATGGCGCATAATTCGGTTCCGTGCCGCCAGACGCTGGCGCAGGTGCCGCAGAGCCGCCTGCTTCATCGATTGGCGGGAACGACGGAGCTACTCGGCCTGGCGAACTGGGGGCGATGGCGCGCCCCTCTTTGCGCTGGCGGCGCCGCGCAGAGGGCCCCCTCTTCCTTTGCCGCGGAGAAGAACGCGCTTCGGGCGCGGGCGTTTTAGCGGCGCGCAATGACAGGCGATGGTGGGCGCCGCCGCGGCAGAGGTAGCCAACAAAACGCCCCGCCGCTAACCTGTAGGAGTTGTGGATATTCACCAGAGAGGGACACATGGCTTCTTCAAGAAATGCCAGGCGATGGGAATGGGGACAAAACGGAGGATGCTTTGAGGAGGAGGAGGAGGACGAGGAGGAGGAGGAGGAGGAGGAGGAGGACGAGGAGGTAAAAAAGGGTAAAGGCGCTTAGGGGACGGTTTCCAAGTCCACTTGGAAAATGGCTGATGCCCCTGCGAGAATTTACGGATACAGGGCCGCACGTTGCCGCGAGGCTTGCCGGCCACGCGTGCTGCTGGCTCATGGCGCTCCCAGCCTAAGACACGCACCTGATCGCCTGCCAGGAAGCACGGGCGGCGTTGGCGGGGGGAGCCCCCTGCAACTTGGAAGGGGGAGGAGGAAGACGACGACGACGACGACGACACAACGACGACGTCGAGAAGAGGAGGGCACGCAGTGCAGGCGCCGTGACTGCTGCGCGTGCACGCGTGCTGGGGGCTGCTTTGCCCTCTGTCTCGAAACCTTGGAAACTACATCTGAAAGTAAGCCCGCCCTCCCATCCCAAACTCGCCACCCCAGTCCATCCCAACAGAAACACTACCTCGTGAGACTAGCTCTCGCCACGGTAAGGCCAAGAGGGGCGACGCGCCAAATGCGCGCCGTCATCCCCCCCCCTCTGACACGCCAAATGCGTGCCGCCCCCCTCTTCTTCTGATTTTTTTTCTTTCGGCTCCTGGGGAGCAGGGGGACGCTCCTTTCTCCGTTTTCACGAGCTGAGGATGAAGGGAAGGAGGAGGCAAGATAACAACAATATTCTCGATATGATTCGTGTGTTTGCTTTGGATGTTACTTTACTCAAGCGCTATCAAATGCAATCTCGCACTTCTGCAAAACACCATGCCAATGTCTATCCACGGCTGCACCGCCAAGGAAATTTCGTTCCTCTTGTATTTAGAAAGCCCTGGTGTCTGCAACTCCCGCAAAGAAATGCCATTCGCCAGTTCCTCACTGTCTGCACACATGAAAATGTCATACACTCTGTCCATGAGCGGTCCGAAATGATGTGCAAGACGTTTCGCGGATTGATACACCAACCTCGCGCGCTGAATTGTTTCTCTGTTAGGTTTGAACGATTGTTTCTTGATGCGATTCTTCAACAAGCAAGGTCGGCCCACGCTTATTTCATTCCCTGCTCCTGCAATCCATGCGACGTCCATCTGATTGTTCGGCTGCCCACACCTGGGAAATAGGTGACTATCTTCTTTGATCTGAGTCGTACCGCATACGAGTTCCACGAGCTCGTCCGTGCAAGCTTCCCCTTTTGATGCTAAAGAAACCAAGCATACTTCATTAGAGGGCGAGTGTACGTGTAGTACTTCTAAGCTGTCGTCTTGCAACTCTCTTTGTAAGTCCGTGCTTGTGCCCTGGTCAATAAGACATGGTCAACTTTCACTTGTCAGTATATTCAAAGCCTCCTCCAGATATTGTATGTGAAACTTCATTTTCTGCTTTTGTGATTTCCTCATTTGTCTCCGAAGTCGTGTGCGATCTGTGCCGAAGCCGGGTGGTGCGCCTGGGCGCCCGGTGCGGCCGCCGTATTCGGCAGCCGCTCCCGCCATTCCCTCCGGGCACGGAGAGGCAAGAAAGGGAGAACGGGGATACAGTTAGCGGAGTGTCGAGACAAACGTGTACGGTTCGGTAGCGAGCCCCCCCTCCCCCCCCGGCCTAGTGCAGTCGGGCGGCCCTGAAGTCCTGGCGGGGATGAAACTTGTACCCTCCTGGCGGGTCGGCAAAGTTTCGGGCCTTCCCGCGCCGACTAGGAGGAGGAGGAGAAGGAGCAGGAACAGGAACAGGAACAGGAACAGGAACAGGAACGGGAGGATGATTGGACCCGCGAGCAACGAAGGGGTGCCAGGCTAAACTTGTTCTCCCCTACCCCCCCCTGCAAGCGTGGCTCCGCCGCCCGCAGGTCATAGCGTCGGCGGACGCGCCGATATTCGTCGGAGGGGCCGGGGTTTTCCGCGTGATGGAGGAGGGGGATGAGAAGGAGGAGAAGAGCAGGAGGAGGCGCGGGAGGACGAGCAGGAGCAAGAGCAGGAGCGGGAGCAGGAACGGGAGGGGAAGGGAGAGGAAGAGGACGAAGAGGAAGAGGAGGAGCAGGAGGAGGAGGAGGAGGAAGAGGAAGATACGTGGGAACATGAGGAGGGGGAATGGGGGAAGGGACGGAGGAGCAGGAGCAGGAGCAGGAGCAGAACGGAGGAGGGGTGGCAATGCAGAAGGATGGGGGGAGCCAGGACGGAACAGGAAGGGAAGCTGGAGGAGGAGATGCCGATCAAGTATGACATCGGCGAATCCGAAAGCGGGCAATGAGGGGGAGCTGGAGGATAGCATGGATGAGCAGGAACGGGAGGGGGAAATTGATGATAACATGTGTGAGCAGGAGCAGGATACCTTTTCATCCTCCCCCTCCTCCGCTTTCGCCTCTGTCTCCAACCGATCCTTTGCGTCTGGCTCTGATTCGTATGCTGCTGCTCTTGATGCTGTTGCTGATGATCATGTTGCCCCTCGTGCTTTTCCGTCAGTCTAGTTTTGCTATCGTGTGCGAAAAGGTTTGCGGCTTGGGGCGTATCAATCGTCGTGATTTCCCACCAGTGTCTAGTTTCAGGATCGTGTGCAAAACAGGCCTACGGCCTGGGAAATATCAAATGGCCGCCGGCCCACTTCGCCACCGTGCCTGGGCTGTGGAAAAGAAGCCCTAACGAAGCCTATTGGGGGGCTTTTGGGAGGCCTCCTGAGGGTAAAGCAATTGCCTCTTGAGCGATGCTTGGTCCTCTTGAGGGCCTGTCGGCGGTCTGGGGGGCCATCTTGGAGGAAATGGCTCGAAATCTCGGTTCGTGTTCCCCTCGCCGATCTTGGTGCCGTTTTGCGAGCCAGTAGGGCCTCCTGGGGATCTCGGGGGCCCTCTTCGGGCGGTCTTCTGGGTCTCTTGGGCTGTCTTGGACGCGCGACAGATCGAAACCGCAAGCATGCGAACATCATAACCGTGCCTTCAGGGTCTGAGCGCCGAAGGGGCAGAAGGATACTCGATTCATTGCCTATTCCGCGGTGGCGGGTTATGCCGCGTCATATGGTTGCAAGTGTTGTTTCTGCTGCGGTATGTAGCTGTTCTCTTGGTCAGGGTAGGACTGGGCCGGAATCCATATTTGTGCACCGACGCTCTCGTTGCGTTGCGACGTGTTCGGGCATGCCTTGGTGTGTTTTCGCAGCGGGAGGCTGCCGCTCGGATCGAATGCCCAGTGCTGCTTCAAATGTCTGGCAACTGCTCAGCGCCGCTGCGCAACTGGTATGCCCAGGCTGCGCGGTGTCTAGCGAAGGCACTGGCTTGCCGCCCGCCCGCAAACCTGCAACCTCATCCTCGTCCCCCGTTCCCTTCCCTCTCTCTCTAAATGTATATGTATATATGTGTATATGTATATGTGCACATATAAAAGTAGATGTATTATATATCGGAGGTGAGGGGGTGAGATCGAAGTGGAACGGAGAGCCCCCCTGCCGGGAAATCGATTTCGGTTTCGTGTTCGTGCGTGCCGTGCGGGCGAGGCGAAGCTGCGTGGGCGGGCGAGAGGAAAGTCTCCTGTGGCTGAGGCGCGGCCGGACCAAATGATTCCCTTCCGGGCGGCCGGGGCCCCGCGGTGTCCCGCCGGTGTCCCGCTGGTGTCCCGTGTGGCTGAGGCGCGGCCGGATCAAATGTCTCCCTTCGGGCGGCCGGGGCCCCGCGGTGTCCCGCCGGTGTCCCGCCGGTGTCCCGTCGGTGACCCGATGATGATAATGATGATGATGATGATGATGATGCTGATGCTGATGATGATGATGTTGATGTTGATGTTGTTGATGATGATGGTGATGATGATGATGTTGGTGTTTTTTTTTTGATGATCGATAGTGAGATCGATAGTGAGGTCGAATGTGAGATCGATAGTGAGATCGGTAGTGAGATCGATTGTGAGATCGAGCGTGAGATCGAATGTCAGATCGATTGTGAGATCGATAATGGTATTGGTAGTGAGATCGATTGTGAGACCGAATGGGAGATCGATTGTGAGATCGATTGTGATATCGATAGTGAGATCGACGGTGAGACCGAATGTGAGATCGATAGTGGGATCTATTGTGAGATCGATTGTGAGATCGATCGTCAGATCGATCGTGAGATCGATCGATTGAGATTGATAATGAGATCGATAGTAAGTTCGATAGTGAGTTCGATGGTGAGACCGAATGTGAGATCGATTGTGATATCGGTTGTGATATCGATAGTGAGATCGGTAGTGAGACCGAATGTACGATCGATAATGAGATCCAAAGTGAGTTCGATAGTTAGATCGATAGTCAGATCGAATGTGAGATCGATTGTGAGATCGATTGTGAGATCGATTGTGAGATCAATAGCGATACCGAATGTGAGATCGATTGTGAGATCGATTGTGAGATCGATAGTCAGATCGATTGTGAGATCGATCGATTGAGATCGATTGTGAGATCGGTAGTGAGTTCGATAGTAAGATCGATCGAGTGCGACGTTGGTCCCTTCCCCCCCCTCACCTCCTTATCACCCGAAGGGTGGTCGTATAGGTGTATGTATATATCTATATACAGATCTCCTTCCCTCTCAGTCCTCCCTCCCTCTCTCTCTCTCTCTCTGCGCACCGCTGCCGCTGCCGGACGGGAGTCCCCTCGGAGCGACGCAGGTCTTCGTGGCAGGGCACGGGGTGCCTCTCGCGCCCGCCTTGCTCAAGCCTTCCTGCGACCCTACCGCAACGGGAGGCACAGACGGCCCCAGGAGAATGCACCTTCCTGGCCACGCCGTCTGTCGTCGCCGTAGCTGCCTCAGACTGCCCAGTACCAGCGGCTCCAGGGAGGCAGCCCCCTGGCCACACCACTAATTCCTAGCCAGGGAGCACGACCTCAGGTAGTACCTCACGCCAGCCGAACTCCCGAATAGGGGTCGCGGCCATCCAGCAACTTGGCCAAGTATTGCCGCTTCTGTTCTGTCCCGCTGAGGAGGTCGCCATGGCCAGCAGCGGTCCAGGGCAGAGCTGCTTGAGCCGTTTGACCCAGTTTGGCTTCGCCGCTCTGCCGAACGCGCCACACCTTCTGCCGAAGATGTACGGCCAGGCCGACTGCATCAGCATCGCCGCTGTCTGCCGACTTCTCAGGCGACAGTCCGTCGCCGCCGTCCATCTCAGGCGACGGCCCGTCGTCGCCGTCACTGCCGCCGTAAAGTATGGCCTGGCCCTGCTGCGCCACCGGGCCCTTCAGTTCGCTGGCGCTTTGGGTGAAGAATACGTCGTTCCACTCAGAAGGCTTCGCCTGGATTCTCTTCGTCCCATTCGGCATATCCGATGTCTTCACGACGGCGTACGCCGTCTTGCGGCGCTTGTCGCACCGCGCCCCGCCCACGCCCGTGAAAGACCTCTTTCGGTTGTCGGTGTGGTGATCCTCGAACGCCGCCTTGATGACGGCATAACGTGCACTATGTCAACGCATCTGCCGTGCATTCAACATGCACGGTGCGAACTGCTTGTAGAGCGAACAAACACTTCACTGCGATGTCATCGCGCTCCATCTGCTCAAAGGCGTCGTCCTCAGGAGCATGCGCGAAGCCAGGAACATGCACAGTTACAAAGTCTGGCATCGATGTTTCGTCGATGTGTTTCTTGCGGTCCTGAAGTATATTGTCCCGCTGGGCGTCCTGAAGTGGCGGGTCGTCTTGTTCCAAGTGTACCCAGATGCGCTGGTCCACTGCGCGGTTGCGCATGACCTTCAGCTCGTATAAGAAGTTGTTGCTCATGAGCGGCGCACCCCGATGGCCCGATAAGGTAGGGGCCTGCCAACGACGTGTTGTCAGGTTCGTCGTCATGTTTATTAATATTATTTGTGTATGGTTTGTTTTGTGGGGGCCTGACGAATAACTGGGGTTTTGCGCCTTCCTTGCTGAGCTCGATCCGCGGCATGCTACCCCTGAGCAGGATGTCCCGCGGTACCCGCGGCTCCTTAAGACCCCCGCCCTCGATGACCAACCTCTCGGTCGCTCGGCATGGGGGCGGCATTGCCTCTCGGGCAGGATTAAGGCGGTTCTCGCTCAGGCCAATACGGCTGCGGCGCATTGCGATGATATCGCAACAGTCAAACACATGACCTGATCCACAACCCAAGCGCAGGATACGCTTTGACGGCGACCACGCGTTTGAATCTGACCACGCGTATTTTCTCATGCGCACAGCCGCTGGTCATCTAAATGCGGAGGGTTCATATCACCCGCTGCGCCCTGCAGGGGTGCCGCCCTGCACGCGTGCGCCGCGGGTGGCAGCGCTTGCCGATGCCTCCTCGGCCCTTCTTCGCTGCTTTTCCCTTGGGCTCGCTGCCCGTTGCGACTCGCACTGGCTTCCCCGACAGGGTGGCCAACGTTTCGCGTGACGCGTGCAGCGTGTCACCAGCGGCGAGATTCTTGCTGTTGACCATCATTTGGACCTTCACGCCCACGCTGGCCGACGCATGCTTCAGGGCCATGTTGACCGTCGCCCCCGCGCCCTCTGTGACCCGCCAGAAAGGCGCAGCGGCACGCGGCGTGAGCTCCTTCATGCCGCCGATGCCAGTTGATGCCTGAGTGTCCTTCTTGGTCTTGAGAAGCGGATTGGGGACCACATTGTAGGCGGTTTTCTTGATTGGGTCCGTGTGCGTCTTCGGGCAGACGTTGCCGAGCGACGCCTCATCTGTCTGCCTTTCCAGACTGATCGGGGGCGCGAGTGGGGCGAGGGGGGGTGCGCCCTTAGCGAGCGACGTCTTGATCTGCAACGCGCGGTATTTCATGGGGGAAACCACGCCTGCGAGGTTTTTCGGGCACGTAGCATGCTTGCCGCGTAGCCCGTGCAGCGCTAGCCTGATATTCCCCTCCTCGACGCTCCAGCTCCAGTCCATGGGTTCGGTCGGGCTGCGCGCGTCG